TAATATTAATATATTTTTTTGTAAATTTTATATGATATTTTCAAATTTATATTTTGTTCAAAAATAAAAACATTATTGTTTTCTCAAAACCACATAAAATCGTATTATAACGACATAGAAAAAAAATAAAATGAAACATTAAAATCAAAATGTATCTCGATATAATACATTACATAAATACCTTTCTAATGATATGTAAACATGTATACGAATTTGGACTTGACGAGTATGTTTTATCATTTCCTGATGTAATAACCAATTTTTATTATTTATTTATTTATTTAAAAACCATGAATAATGTTTACAATGAGTTTTATTTTTACATTTATTTAAAAACCATGAATAATGTTTACAATGAGTTTTATTTTTACATTTATTTAAAAACCATGAATAATGTTTACAATGAGTTTTATTTTTACATTTATTTAAAAACCATGAATAATGTTTACAATGAGTTTTATTTTTACATTTATTTAAAAACCATGAATAATGTTTACAATGAGTTTTATTTTTACATTTATTTAAAAACCATGAATAATGTTTACAATGAGTTTTATTTTTACATTTATTTAAAAACCATGAATAATGTTTACAATGAGTTTTATTTTTACATTTATTTAAAAACCATGAATAATGTTTACAATGAGTTTTATTTTTACATTTATTTAAAAACCATGAATAATGTTTACAATGAGTTTTATTTTTACATTTATTTAAAAACCATGAATAATGTTTACAATGAGTTTTATTTTTACATTTATTTAAAAACCATGAATAATGTTTACAATGAGTTTTATTTTTACATTTATTTAAAAACCATGAATAATGTTTACAATGAGTTTTATTTTTACATTTATTTAAAAACCATGAATAATGTTTACAATGAGTTTTATTTTTACATTTATTTAAAAACCATGAATAATGTTTACAATGAGTTTTATTTTTACATTTATTTAAAAACCATGAATAATGTTTACAATGAGTTTTATTTTTACATTTATTTAAAAACCATGAATAATGTTTACAATGAGTTTTATTTTTACAAAAGAAACCTTTACATATGTAGGCTTTTTTGGATTTTGTCCTTAGATAATAGGTTTTTTTTACAGATTTGGTCCCTGAGATAAACGGTCGTTTATTTTCTTCGTTAAGTAAGAGAGCAAAATGGTCAATTTACTGATTATCTTTATTTAATTTGTTTTTAAATTATATTTTATGTACTATTGTTATTATATATCATCACACATATATAATATATATACATATTTTATTAAGAGCATAAAAAACCACCGACCCTCTTCTCTCTCACCATCCTCAGGCCATCGAACCTCCATCGTCGTCGGCAGTCACCAACCTCCATCTCTCTCCCCTTCACTAGATCTACCTCTCTTCCACCCCCCCCCCTCATTAGATCTTCGTCCAACCACCAAATCTGCAACATTATGAAGAGGACGAGGTCGTCGGAGAAGACGATGAAGCTTGAACAGACCTGAGATGGGTTTGGATTTAGTTTAGATGGAGATCGGTTTTGCCAGTAATGGAGATGGAGGAGTGGCGTTGTAGATCTATGGTTCATCCCTATGTCTGTATCTCCAGCGTCTTCTCAGACGTTTAGTTTTCAGACCCCAAAGACTCAATTTTCTTGGACCTCTATCATCTCATCTTAGGGTTTTGATTTAGTTTAGATCTATTGATGACGGTTTGTTAATGGAGGTGAATTTGAAAGAACCAGGTAAAAGACCTTAAAAAACAAATAATTAAAAAATGTTAAAAATGAGAAAAATATGAAAATGTTAAAATGATAAATTACATATTTAGTCCCTCTAGTCTAAAAAATGATAAAATAAAGGGAAAAAAAACAAAAAGGACCAACTTACTTTTATAGTTGACAAATCAAGTTGGAAGGTTGCTATTATGAAAGATCAAATGCATAAAAAAACCTTTTGTCATGGGGACCAAATCCAAAAAAGTCTGCATACATGGAGGTTTATTTTGTAATAAATAAAGATAAATGATCAAATTCGTAATAATTGACATATCTTAGGGACCAAATCTATAATTCACTTTAATTTTTTTTATATCTTAAAGTAGATTAAAAGTAAAGTTCACTTTTGGTCCCTAACGTTTGTCACTTTCAACGTTTTTTTCACTCAACTTTGTTTTAACATATTTGTCCTCACATTTGACACTTCGCAACGATTTTCATCCCTCACCCTAAAGGTTATTAGTTTTTTCCATTAAGTCCAATTTAATGAGGGGTATTTTAGTTATTTTACCTATTTTTTAAAATTTTCTGTTTTTACAAAAATCATCAAACTTTAGGAGACCTATTACGTAATTATATCTAACATATATATACATATACATATACATATACATATACATATACATATACATATTCATATACATATACATATACATATACATATACATATACATATACATANT